CACTCAGAGGAAGTTTACCTGCTTCTCATTTCATTTTGCTACTGGCTGTCCTGATGAAGCATGTCAGAGAGCAAAAGATGAAGCTTAAATTCACTATGCTGGAGGCATAATAGTAATAAGAGTACATTTCAATGTGGAACAACTCAACAATAAAAATATTTAAATATAAATATAAATCTCTCCACATGCTTTCCAGTCTTCACTCCAATCTTACATTTTTTTTTGTAAATTTTCAGTTTTGTTTAAGTACCATAATATTGAACTTTAGTCGTAGTGTTTTGTGTTTTGGTTTAATTGCATAAATATTGTCAACAGTCTTGCTGCATTAATCTGTCCAGTTCAATTTGTGGAACATGCAGCAGAAGAAAATTATCTGCACCAGCTTTTCCTTTTCTGGGCTTTACAGACACGCTGCAGAGCATCAGAACATAACAGTGTGATGATGCACTGGAATAACTCAGTAAATATACAGCCAAAAATATGCACTGCTGTAGCATATATTGTATTTTAATATTTTTACTTTATAGTCTTTAAATGTTAGAAATATTTGCCTTCTATAAACTATGTTCATGCCTTCCATTTTGATGTGTTTACATCCCAGTTTGAACCTAATTTTCAAACATTCCCAATATAGATGCAAAAACAGCAATATAATCTGTTTCGGTGTAATAACTTGCAGATGGTAAGTCATTATATTTGTATCTCCCAGTATTTTGATCTTTTTGCTTTATTGTGCCTGCTATTCTCGTCAGTTCGCTGATGCAGTCTTGTACGTATGTTGATCAGATTTGCACCTGTTTTTGTACATGTAAAAAGGGTCGGGGTTCTGGCAAAGTTTCATTACCAGGCGGCTGCTGCTGTACGCTGTGAGGTAACAACTCTCTACAACTCCAAGGAAATATCAGTGGGAAGGCCCACATTAAAAAAAATGAAACATCAACATTCACATGCAGATGAGTTGTTCTCTGGTTGTCATTAATAAATGCTGATAGAGGAGCAATTCAGTTCATTAAATAAGAATACAAATCATGACAAGGAAGCCTAATGATGTCTTCTGATCCATAAACAGAGAACAATGGATTTCTTATTCATTAAAATTCACAATTAGTAGCAAATCCAACAAGTGAACTGCCACGTTGATGCAGCACATCGTAAAACAGTAAAAGAAGAGGAGTGGGGGAGGAAACTGCTGATTCATAAGCCACAATAATTCATGTGGATCAAAGAGGGCAGTGCAGGATCATCTGGATAAGGATTAAAGCAAAGACCATGATCAGCCATTTTGGTTCAGTTGCCCAGAAAGCTGCGCTCCAAGTTACACTAGGTCACTTCTGTATTGACCGATATTTGCCAGAATATACAGCATGCATGCAAATGTTAGAGATGCAGCTGCCAGGAAACAAAGAGGAGAAGTGGATGAAGTTAGAGGACATGGAGGAGAAACCAGAGTTGGATGGAGGAGGATGACTCACTGTGGTGATCCCTGAAGAGATATGAAATCTAAATAGATGGAAAGTCGTGTTTTCTCTGTTGTTGTTGACCAATCACTTTATCATAGATTGTAATATTTTTAAAGATGCATAACAGCCATTAATTAAATATTTTTTTATGATGTTCGACCAGTATCACCTGGGAGGGGGGTAAGTATTGGAAATTAACCTTTGCCTGGACTTGGATGCATTTGCCTGGACTTGGATGCATTTTATCTCTACATACTGTCCATATTTAGCCAAATAAATTACACAAATACATTTTGCAAATAGATTACATCCCATCATTCTTCATAGCTGCCTAAATCATTTCACACTGATGTGGCAGTAAAGGTTCCATCACTGCTGTCACTTCCAAAACTTAAGGCAACAACTGTTGGGGCTGTAAGCGTTTATGCACCGCTTCAGTAATCATCCAGAGCACAAATAACAGATGCAGGTTACATAAATGAACAGTGATCACATGGAATTATGGCTGTATAGTCTTATTTTGTCACAGAGTTCACCACAGAGTTCAAACATACAAACGTAAGATGATTTTTGTTCTGAGAAAAAAAAAAAAAAGCCTTCGTATTTATTTCTGAAGCCTAGATGTAGACAATTTTATTCCCAGCGAAAGGGGAGGTTTGATTGTTGGGGACCAATCTGATGAACTGAAAACAGAAGTATTTAACAGTAAGATATTATCTGTTTGCTGACTGAAACAGATAATACCTGCAACAAATACAGTGGCCTAGTTGAAGGTTGCACAAAACATCAACATCTCAAAGTGCCTTTATAAGTAGACATTGCTAAGTAAAAAATGGTAGGTAGGATCCAAGTTGAATAAACCTATTAGCTGTAAACACATCAAATATTGTGTCACAGAATAGTGTTGTAAAATATCTTCCAACGATTTATATTTATAGTTACTTTGATGTTATTACAAAGACTGAGAGGGACATGAGAGAACACAGATGAGTTTTAACATTACGTTTAAATTCTGTCCTGTGTCAAAATTTAAACATAATGTCAAAATTCTGATCCATGCAATTATCATGGAATTAACTAATCTGCTTTGAATTAGAGTCAGACAGTTATAACAATCTAAGATAAATGTTCACCTCATTCAGAAGTAATGCCATAACTTTAAAGTGACTGTTCAGATATTAAATATATATATTATATATTGAAAAGGGAAACACTGATCTTTGTTTGATGACCGTCATTATGGTATCATTGATGGCTTTTTAGCAGCACCAACACAACCTAGTGCCTGTTCCACACTCCAGTTCCTTACAGAGTGTAACATTAGTTTAGTTTATACTTGGATGATGAACATTTTTTTTGTCAGAAATGATAAAATATGCAGAGTATGGAAAGAAAGATAAGCAGACTTTCAGCCCCAGTTCTTGCCATGCAATAAAATATTATTTCCCCCAGAGCTGTTTTTAGTGTTTCTTCTGAGCAGCAACAGAAGCAATGTCCTACAACTACAGCATACTCCGACAATAAACAAAGTGAACCACTAGTGCAGCCTGCTGAAAACTGGACGAGCTAACATCAGTCCCACTGACATGTAACAATAGTTAGCTTGCATCAAGAGGTGATACAACATGCCGGGTTAACAGTGCTAGTGCTAACGGTTCAGTTGAAGTAACGGCAGGAGATGATTGAACTGCAGACTTCTGGAATGAAGTCAAACGGAGGCGTACATTGATATTTTTCAAAATAAAAGCAGTTTTTTGTTAATAAATTGTATTTAAAATGAGAACTCTGACCCCTGGAAGGGCTCAGCACACAGGGCAGCACCGTTCACTGGCCTCCGTCATCCAGCAACACACAGAGACAAAATGGAGGCATAAACATCTGAGTGAGCCAAGGCTGGATCCGTCATGACAACTTACAGCAGTGGTGCACAAACTTTTTGTCCCTGGGGCCACAACTGGCAAATTTCAGCACCTTGCGGGCCACACAATTAGTTTACTCAAAACTGCAAAAATTTGTCTTTTGTAATTTTTCTTTGTTTTGTTTTAACTACTAGATAATAAACGTTTTAATGAAACGTGTCCTTATTTTTTTTTAAAAAACAACAAATAATATCAACAGTTTTGAAGGTTATTAGTTATCTTCTATTTTGTTGGCTACGTTTTTAATGTTCTTGACTTGTAGCTGGGGGACTGTTCAAAATCATTTCAGGGGCCACGAATGGACTCCGAGCCACACTTTGGACACTCCTGATCTTCAGTATTTAGATGTCTGTTTGATTTTTCTTCCAGGCTGCTGGCTGGCTCAGCAGCCTGCCAGACAAAAATCTACAAGCCTGCTAAGAGTTTTAATTATTTGTGAGCATGCTCCAACAAACAGATGTAGGGCAGGACAAAGCATTGAGGTGGTAGATTACAACCCTCAGCCTCATCCCATCTGCTCTGCTGCTGGCACAGGTGGATAGAAATAAGTTGCAAAGATCTATATACAAGTGAACTGGACCTCTCCTCCTTGACCAAAAGGTTTTAAATATGACAGAGTTTTGGAAAAGGTTTGCATGAAGAAAAGATTCATGCAGATTTAGCAACACAACTCAAAGCTTGTTAAGATAACAAAGGCACTTATTAAATTTTATTTTCTACAACAGAACAAGAGCAGACAGAGCAACATAGCCACCCTATTTGTTGAGTGTGTATGTGTGTGTCCTTGAATTTGATACATTGCAAGGACTATTTTTCCAACAAATATGACATTATGGGGACCGCAAGCCCCTTATGGGGCCTAAATCCTGGGCCCCAATTACGAATTAAGTTTAGGTTAGGTCTGGGGTAAAGTATGTACTAATACCAGATGGGTCCCCAAACTTTTCCATGCTATGGCCCCCTTTACAAACGTACATACAGACAATGCTTCAAAATATTAAAATGCTTTAATTTTTAGATTTTTTTCTTACTTTTACTCACTATTCAATAGTTATTACATTTGTTTAGCAGATGCGTTCATTTTGAACATGCGCGGTGCTGGCAGCACTGCCACTTCAGTTGAAATCTTTGTATCCTCATTTACAGTGTGAGTAAATTGTTGGACTTGCAAGTATCTGTAGGACAAGCACAATGTTTCCAGGAAAAGAACTGAAAAGGTTTCTGTCTTGTCTAGAAGCTATGCTAGCTTGAGAAGAAAAGCAGCTGGATAAATTTGACTGGCTGCCAATCAGAAAGATGAGAATGGAAAATAATATTGGAATAAGTTATTTTAACTCATATTTTATAATAATGATTGAAAATCGGATCAGAGTTTATGATAAAAAAAGAGGATAAAAAATGTGACTACAATTGATTGGATTACATTTGGAAAAAATTGGTTTAGTGTAAGGCTCATGGTTTGGTTTTTAGAAATGAATGAAAAATGAATGAGAGCCGACACAAAGTCCTTGTGGAAATAAAGAGATGTACTGTATGTGTGTGTTTCTGGTTATCCAGATATCTGGTGATACTCTTCGTACTGCGGCTCTGTTTCAGCCTCAGTCGACCTTCCAGAACTCACCAGCTCTGGGCCAGAGGACTGCTGCGCTCCCCGGCAGCTGGGAGGCGGCAGACTTGGCCACTGAGGTAGTCGTGGTGGACGACACGGAGGGCAGGAGGTCAGGCTGGGCCAGCTGAGGAACTCGTTGCTTCTCCTGCCCTTCCCTGGATCCCGGGCTGGGTTTGGAAGTGACTCCTCCCACCTGGCTCCCTCCCAGAGCTGCGTTGGTATTCCTTAGCGACCAGCGGTTCTGAATGTGTGACACAGCCTCCTCTGCCACCATGCCACCTCCCGCAGTGATGGTCAGCGTAGCATGAACTGTAAAGTTCTGATCCTCTTCAGCCCACATATCAGACACACGGCACTCATACACCCCCCCGTCCTCCTTCTTCACTTTAGACAGGCTGAGGCGGTGGGAGATGGCATTCCCATGAACACGCACAGTCTGAAAGTCCAAGGCAGAGACATGTGGAAGTATTACAAAACTGGCTAACGTTCGGATAACAGCTGGATTTAGGAGCCATTAATCATGGGCCTAATGAGGCTGGCTTCATGTTCTATAACTGGGTGGAGGGGAGGGAGGCTCCAGCACCAAACCATGAAACTCTGTTGACTGACAGTCATTCTCATAAAACCTCAGAATGAACCTTTTCTTTGACTAAAATGTGACAACCGGACCTCAGCAAGTTTAAAAGTAGAAGGACAAAAGTTATGTTAGCAGAAATGGATAAATAAAGAATAAAATGAGGCGCTGATGCCAAATCTCAATTGACTCAAAAACATACAGTTAGGGCCAGAAATATTTGGACAGTAACACAATTTTCGTGAGTTGGGCTCTGCATGCCACCGCATTGGATTTGAAATGAAACCACTACAACAAAATTCAAGTGCAGATTGTAACGTTTAATTTAAAGGGTTGAACAAAAATATGATAGAAAATGTAGGAATTGTACACATTTGTTTACAAACACTCCACATTTAGGAGCTCAAAAGTAATTGGACATATAAACATAACCCAAACAAAAAAGTTTTTCTCAATATTTTGTTGCGAATCCTTTGGAGGCAATCACTGCCTTAAGTCTGGAACCCATGGACATCACAAACGCTGGGTTTCCTCCTTCTTAATGCTTTCCCAGGCCTTTACAGCCGCAGCCTTCAGGTCTTGCTTGTTAGTGGGTCTTTCCGTCTGAAGTCTGGATTTGAGCAAGTGAAATGCATGCTCAATTGGGTTAAGATCTGGTGATTGACTTGGCCATTGCAGAATATTCCACCTTTTTGCTCTCATGAACTGGGTAGTTTTGGCTGTATGCTTGGGGGTCATTATCCATCTGTACTGTGAAGCGCCGTCTGATCAACTTTGCAGCATGGCTGAATCTGGGCTGACAGTATCCCGGTACACTTCAGAATTCATCCGGCTACTCTTGTCTGCTGTTATGTCATCAATAAACACAAGTGACCCAGTGCCATTGAAAGCCATGCATGCCCATGCCATCACGTTGCCTCCACCATGTTTTACAGAGGATGTGGTGTGCCTTGGATCATGTGCCGTTCCCTTTCTTCTCCAAACTTTTTCTTCCCATCATTCTGGTACAGGTTGATCTTTGTCTCATCTGTCCATAGAATACTTTTCCAGAACTGGGCTGGCTTCTTGAGGTGTTTTTGGGCAAATTTAACTCTGGCCTGTCTATTTTTGGAATTGATGAATGGTTTGCATCTACATGTGAACCCTTTTGTATTTGCTTTCATGGAGTCTTCTCTTTACTGTTGACTTAGAGACAGATACACCTACTTCCCTGAGAGTGTCTGGACCTCAGTTGATGTTGTGAACGGGTTCTTCTTCACCAAAGAAAGTATGCAGCGATCATCCACCACCGTTGTCTTCAGTGGACGCCCAGGCCTTTTGAGTTCCCAAGCTCACCAGTCAATTCCTTTTTCCTCAGAATGTACCCGACTGTTGATTTTGCTACTCCAAGCATGTCTGCTATCTCTCTGATGGATTTTTGCTTTGTTTTCAGCCTCAGGATGTTCTGCTTCACCTCAATTGAGAGCTCCTTTGACCGCATGTTGTCTGGTCACAGCAACAGCTTCCAAATGTAAAACCACACACCTGGAAACAACCCCAGACCTTTTAACTACTTACTTGATTACAGGTTAACGAGGGAAAGGCCTTCTGAGTTACTTGCAGCCTTTAGAGTCCATTGTCCAATTACTTTTGGTCCCTTGAAAAAGAGGAAGCTCTGCATTACAGAGCTATGATTCCTAAACCCTTTCTCCGATTTGGATGTGGAAACTCTCATATTGCAGCTGGGAGTGTGCACTTTCAGCCCATACTATATATAAATTGTATTTCTGAACATATTTTTGTCAACAGCTAAAATAACAAAACCTGTGTCACTGTCCAAATATTTCTGGCCCTAACTGTAGTTACTGTTAGTAAACATAGTTACCTCTAGTAAACTTAGTAAACATAGTTACTGTTAGTAAACATGGTTACTGCTAGTAAACATGGTAACTGTTAGTAAACAGTAACTATGTTACTAGTGTTTGCTAATTACTGTTAGTAAACATAATTACTGTTAGTAAACATAATTACTGTTAGTAAACATGGTTGCTGTTTGCTTGCAGTTGTATTTTTCTAGGTGGTTTTGCTCAGTTTTATAAAAGTGGTCACTTACACTTATTTTTGTAGCTTCTCTTAAGCTGCCCTGAAATGACAGAAGCATATTGAGTTGAACAAAAAAAGTTCGCACATAAATAAAAACAAACAAACAAACAAAAAAAACTAAACACCTTGTTGAAGGAATTTCAGATAGGATTTGCATTTTTTTCACTGGAAACAGCAACAGAAGAAATGTTGCAGATGTGACTTTATCTCCCAGACAATGAGTTGGCAAAAAAAAAAAAAAAAAAAAAAAAATCTAATCATTCTAGTTTATTTGTCACGGTGCAGGGAAGATTATCTCGCTACAGCATCTCATCATTAATCTGTCACATCTGAATGTGATGCTTACTGATACAAGGATCCTTCCTGTAGTCAGGATGGGACTGTTACAGGATCATAGTGCCATTTTATAGCAGAATTAAGTAACTATGTTACCTTCAGTTAGCATAAAAATGTTTTATGTATGAAATATGACTTAAAATAAATTTTGCATTATAATTTCATGCCTTGACATCTGACCTTTGTCTCTTTAAGAACTCCTCTTTCTGAAACTGCCATTAGGAAGACATCACAACATGGCTGCTCTATTAACATTTTAACAATGTTTTTGTTTACCAGCGTTGCTCTGAGAAGCAGCTTGCATAATGAGATCAGCAGATAAGTAGTCCCACCAGGTGTTTGCTAATAGATGCTGGTTAGAAGGAGCTGAATGGGAGAGTCACGAAGGTGGGATGGCCTGTGAGGCAGAAGCTCAGCAGCTTGGAAATGTTTTGCACAACTGAATGGTTGCCATGGAAATGAAATAATTTCTAAAGCATACATGAAAGAAACAAAGCAATACTCCAAGTATGTTTATAATGAGGGAATAACATAATAACATGACAAAAAGCTAAAAATAAATCAATCTTACATAATCCTGTCCCTTTAAACAGATTAAAGCTCCAAACACTAAAAACTGTCTGGACTTTCTTAATGGATAGAGGTACAGTATATTTTGTGGTATGAAGATATGTTTAAAAATGTCTAAATGCTCCATAGATATGAAAGCTGAAACTGGTAGCTATTTGGTTTGACTCTATATTTTTTAGAAGTTTGTCAGAAGTCTGAAAGTAGACCTGCTACTGGAGAACATGTCTCTTGGGAAATTTCTGACATGTCTTAGGAATGTCTGATGGACCAGGCGGGGCCGCAGGTACCTTGGCTCTGTTCTGCAGCTCATTAGGTCCTTCTTTGGGGGCGTCCAGCTTGATGTACCACCACTGAATTTCCAAAGATATGGGAGCAGAGCTGAGGGCTTTGAAGGCGCAGGGCATCTCCACGTCTTCTCCCTCCCCAACGCTCACATCCTTGGGGATTTCAGTGAACGCGGCTTCGGTTCCATGCATGAAAAGGAAAACAGTGGATGAATAAATGGCTTTTATCTGAAACTGGATCTATTTACGTTCTGAAAAACCAACAACATTTCCCCACTTCTCCTGACTTTGCTATTCTCAAGCTTTATTATCACAGTAAAGTTGACTCTACTTTATTAAATCAAGCTATTAGAACAAAAGCAATTTGATGTGCTTTGATTCTACAGCAGACTGTGCTGGCTATGTTTTACCATTAGAAGGAGAAGCCCTGGCTGGTGTAGGTTGTTCCACCGTCTGCTTCAGGTTACTCACCATCTGCATATATCACCAACTGGGAATTGAGAACGAAGTAACAGAAGAGTTTGTAGAGTCTGGACTTTTCCATGTCATAGGGAAGCTGGCACTTTCACGGCAGACATAAAAAGGTCATGGTGTGAACCTGGAAGCAATGGGACCCATCAGCTCCAATAAGTGGAAATGCAAACTGAAGCCCAGCAGCAACATGTAGCTGCTCTGACACCCGGAGCTGGACACTCAGTCTGCCCACACGTCAGCCCGGCAGCAGAGGGGCTGGAAGCAGCGGTGCAGGGAGGCGGCTTTAATCTCCTGCTGATCCAGTGGCTGGGTTATTCCCCACCGAGCCCGTGGGAGGACACAGATAAGTTCCTTGCGGTCAGCGGTGCTCCATCATCAGCCTGACGCCCCGCTGCGGGTAGTCTCTCCTGGGCTGGGCTCAGATCCAAACCCCATCATATTGCTGGCTCCAGAGAGAGCAGGGAGAGGCGACAGCATGGGGCTGCAGCAGGCTGAGACCGGGGAGGAGAACTTCTCCCTGGTGATAATCTGAGTGTGTCCTCACTGCTGCTGTCACGGCGCTGGAGTCCTCCCACTGCTCTGAACTCAGCTCTCTCTCCTCTGCAGGCAGCCTGTGGTCTAAGCACACTGTTCTCCTCCTCCTTACTTAACTGGGACTCTAGCACTTCTGATGACATCTGATCACCCACAGCTCATTACAACAAATAAGAATATTTCAGATGATGTACACTTTTTGAAAAGCTGTGTTTTTTAGAGAATATTTTGAAACAACTCCAGAGTTCTCAGCCATTGAAAAACCTGAGACTTCACATGTATTAAAGTTAAAAAGTAAGATTATAGCTTTTTGTCTCTGTGCACAATTATTGAACAAGTATGCATAATTACCATGAAAGAACGTAGTTTTTGAGGAAACTTAGATCCTTCGAGGTTTTCAACAAGATGCTGCAGATCTTCGGTGAGTCTGTTGTTGAGTTTTGTTTCTTCTGCTGAGCAGTAGCATCAGGACCGGAGATTTAAAACAGCTCAACAACCTGATAGGAAAGGCTGGTTCTGTTCTGTTTCTGATCTGGTTCTGGGGATGACTCAGGAACCTCTGGAGATGATGCAAAGAAAGATTTTACTTAAAATCAAGAAAATTATGGGCAACCCTGAGCATCCTCTACATGAGACCGTTTTAGTGAAACAGTGTCTTCAGTCACCGTCGTCTGGGGTTCAGTCGTCGTCGTCTGGGTTCAGTCACAGTCGTCTGGGTTCAGTCATCGTCGTCTGGGTTCAGTCACAGTCGTCTGGGTTCAGTCGTCATCGTCTGGGTTCAGTCACCGTCGTCTGGGTTCAGTCGCCGTCGTCTGGGTTCAGTCATCGTCGTCTGGGTTCAGTCACCGTCGTCTGGGTTCAGTCACAGTCGTCTGGGTTCAGTCACCGTCCTCTGGGGTTCAGTCACAGTCGTCTGGGTTCAGACATCGTCGTCTGGGGTTCAGTCGGCGTCGTCTGGGTTCAGTCACAGTCGTCTGGGTTCAGTCACCGTCGTCTGGGTTCAGTCACCGTCGTCTGGGTTCAGTCACAGTCGTCTGGGTTCAGTCACCATCGTCTGGGGTTCAGTCGGCGTCGTCTGGGTTCAGTCACTGTCGTCTGGGTTCAGTCACCGTCGTCTGGGTTCAGTCACCGTCGTCTGGGTTCAGTCGCCCTCGTCTGGGTTCAGTCACCGTCGTCTGGGTTCAGTCGTCGTCGTCTGGGTTCAGTCACCGTCGTCTGGGTTCAGTCGTCGTCGTCTGGGTTCAGTCACCGTCGTCTGGGTTCAGTCACCGTCGTCTGGGTTCAGTCGCCGTCGTCTGGGTTCAGTCGGCATCGTCTGGGTTCAGTCGCCATCGTCTGGGTTCAGTCGCCGTCGTCTGGGTTCAGTCACCGTCGTCTGGGTTCAGTCAGTCGTCTGGGTTCAGTCATCGTCGTCTGGGTTCAGTCGCCGTCGTCTGGGTTCAGTCGCCCTCGTCTGGGTTCAGTCACCGTCGTCTGGGTTCAGTCACCGTCGTCTGGGTTCAGTCACAGTCGTCTGGGTTCAGTCACCGTCGTCTGGGTTCAGTCGCCGTCGTCTGGGTTCAGTCACCGTCGTCTGGGTTCAGTCACCGTCGTCTGGGTTCAGTCGCCCTCGTCTGGGGTTCAGTCACTGTCGTCTGGGTTCAGTCACCGTCGTCTGGGTTCAGTCACCGTCGTCTGGGTTCAGTCACCGTCGTCTGGGGTTCAGTCGGCGTCGTCTGGGGTTCAGTCGGCGTCGTCTGGGTTCAGTCACTGTCGTCTGGGTTCAGTCACCGTCGTCTGGGTTCAGTCACCGTCGTCTGGGTTCAGTCGCCTCGTCTGGGTTCAGTCACTGTCGTCTGGGTTCAGTCACAGTTGTCTGGGTTCAGTCACCATCGTCTGGGTTCAGTCACCAATGTCTGGGTTCAGTCACTGTCGTCTGGGTTCAGTCACCGTCGTCTGGGTTCAGTCGCCGTCGTCTGGGTTCAGTCACCGTCGTCTGGGTTCAGTCACCGTCTGGGTTCAGTCGCCGTCGTCTGGGTTCAGTCACCGTCGTCTGGGTTCAGTCGCCCTCGTCTGGGGTTCAGTCACTGTCGTCTGGGTTCAGTCACCGTCGTCTGGGTTCAGTCATCGTCGTCTGGGTTCAGTCATCGTCGTCTGGGTTCAGTCACCGTCGTCTGGGTTCAGTCGCCCTCGTCTGGGGTTCAGTCACCGTCGTCTGGGTTCAGTCACCGTCGTCTGGTTCAGTCACAGTCGTCTGGGTTCAATCATCGTCGTCTGGGTTCAGTCACCGTTGTCTGGGTTCAGTCGCCCTCGTCTGGGGTTCAGTCACTGTGTCTGGGTTCAGTCACCGTCGTCTGGGTTCAGTCACCGTCGTCTGGGTTCAGTCATCGTCGTCTGGGTTCAGTCACCGTCGTCTGGGTTCAGTCGCCCTCGTCTGGGGTTCAGTCACTGTCGTCTGGGTTCAGTCACCGTCGTCTGGGTTCAGTCACAGTCGTCTGGGTTCAGTCACCGTCGTCTGGGTTCAGTCATCGTCGTCTGTGTTCAGTCACCGTCGTCTGGGTTCAGTCACCGTCGTCTGGGTTCAGTCACAGTCGTCTGGGTTCAGTCACAGTCGTCTGGGTTCAGTCACCGTCGTCTGGGTTCAGTCACCGTCGTCTGGGTTCAGTCACCGTCGTCTGGGTTCAGTCACCGTCGTCTGGGTTCAGTCATCGTCGTCTGGGTTCAGTCACCGTCGTCTGGGGTTCAGTAAGCATTGTCTGTGTTCAGTCACCGTCGTCTGTGTTCAGTCACCGTCGTCTGGGTTCAGTCACAGTCGTCTGGGTTCAGTCACCGTCGTCTGGGGTTCAGTCGGCGTCGTCTGGGTTCAGTCACCGTCGTCTGGGTTCAGTCGCCCTCGTCTGGGGTTCAGTCACCGTCGTCTGGGTTCAGTCACCGTCGTCTGGGTTCAGTCACCGTCGTCTGGGGTTCAGTCGGCGTCGTCTGGGTTCAGTCACCGTCGTCTGTGTTCAGTCACCGTCGTCTGGGTTCAGTCACAGTCGTCTGGGTTCAGTCACAGTCGTCTGGGTTCAGTCACAGTCGTCTGGGTTCAGTCATCGTCGTCTGGGTTCAGTCACCGTCGTCTGGGGTTCAGTCGGCGTCGTCTGGGTTCAGTCACCGTCGTCTGGGTTCAGTCACCGTCGTCTGGGTTCAGTCACAGTCGTCTTGGTTCAGTCACCGTCGTCTGGGTTCAAGGAGCTGGTTTTTACCCGACTAGGGTCAGGGCAGAGTTTCTGAAAGAAAACTAAAAACTGCCTTCCATTGTTTGTTTACTTTGAAATACTCAGAATAAACCATTGTATAGAATTGATGAGGTTGCCTGGCAACATAAAGTTAAATTTTACTCAAATACAGAACTAAAAGGATTGCTAAATGCTTCTCATAGTTATTGTGATACAATGAGCCAAATGGTTACATAGGTAAAACTACATTAGCATTAACAAGTGAATGTGCAAGATGCCTTGTCCCTTTCATGTGGGTGTGGCAGCTCATCTGGTGACAGCGACAGAAAACTGGAACCCATCGAGACTTTAGTACACCTTTAAATTAGCTTTGACATGAGGGGAATCAATTTATGGCAAACTGGCATAAATTGTGATTCATGCCACAAGACTCGAAGAAAATACTATAACAAACCAGACTGGATTAATTAAAAATCAGAATTCTATAAGAGGAACCAGCAATGTTTTGGGTATGATGTCTTTATTTTGCATTAGTCCTCCTGTCTCTATCTGCCTTCATCTTTTAGGAGACAGCTGTGAACATGATTCAAGGGGATTCTCTCATTCTGCAGAATCATTGCCTTTTTATGAGATTTTACTTCAGATAATATGTCAGATCTTCAAAGCCCCAGCTCTCATCTGCAGCCTTGCAACTTCCTCTGAGGCAAATGTATTATTAACATGACAAAAGTGAAGTGGCCTTTCACTGCCCTCCCATCATTAGCATTTATATAGACCGAGGACAGCAGGGCAGACTAGTGTACTTTGCAATTCAGTCCAGGATGCTACAGCAGGAATATCAGTATAGCATTCTGTATTCATAACTGGTGGATATGCAGTGGAAGAGCTTCTTTGCTCCAGGAATTATGCAGGAGCTGACTGCATCGAAAGTTAATCCTGCTAAAATCAATGCAGCTTCATAATGACAGTTGTGATACAATTTGGTTTTGATACCAGGAGACTGGACAGGCAGCACAAACATGGCGCACAGTAAAATCAGTCCTCAGTTCAGACCAGTTCAATTTGAATGTCTGAATTGTTCCCGTTTACTTCACGACTTCTTTAAGGATGCCCAGTGTTTTATGGTTCGTTCTGTGACAGTGTTACAGCGCCACCTATTTTTTTGCTGTAACACTGCACCGATCATACCATACCTACTACAGCCTTTTTTTTGTGGTTATGGATTGGACACTTTTTTTCTTAGTTGTTCTTTAAATGTACTTTGTCACAGAAATGTACTGTTTGTCTCTGTGAGGAAAGAGAGTTCCAATAACTCTAGGAACCCTGAATCCATGTTTCCACATTCAGTTCATCATTGATACGTGTGTGAAAAAGGTATGCAATACTTTTGTAGTTTGCCCCTTTCATACATGAGGCTCCAGGGTTGTTTTTTGTTTTCTCCACCTCTGAGCATTATAAGTTTAATTGATATAGTCTTTTTTTCAGTTCTTTTCCTGGAAACATTGTGCTTGTCCTACAGATACTTGTAAGTCCAACAATTTACTCACACTGTAAATGGGGATACAAAGATTTCAACTGAAGTGACAGTGCTGCCAGCACCGCACATGTTCAAAATGAACGCAGTTTAAACGAACAGGACAAACCCAGGTCTGTCTGCCAGAACGTATAGTGTTTTGATTCTTTTAGATTGGAAAAAAACAACTAAATGAAAACATTTATTTGACAGAAACAAAATAAAAATCTGTGTATTCCAGTGTGACCTGAATGCTCACACTCCACTGTCTCCTCAAAGCAGCGAAGAAATTTCAGTGTCAGATCATAAAGACTGCAGCTTCACACAGAATAACATCAAGGTCACACGCAGCAGATGCATCTGAAGCTGAGAAGCTGCTGAGAGCCTTTATTTACATTCCTTATTGATATGATGAGATATTTATTTTGAGTGGTAGGAGTTCATCCTGTAACTGTTGGGTTCCAGGTTCAAATCCCTGCTCTGTGTTTTGGTCAAACATCAGGCCTCCCAGGCATTAACTCAAAATGTTTGTCTGCTGTTCAGCTTGAAAAAAATGATGGAGTCAGATGCAGATTTTTCTGTAGTTTCTTGAGAGCAGTTTTTTTTTCTGTCAACATCTGTATGCCATCCCTGCTAGTACTCACACTGATAAAATCAGACACTAACACTATATGTGCAAAACTGTTACATAAATTAGCACAGTCTTTGAAATCAACATTTGCTTTTTATATTGAAATATTTTTTGAGTATTTATTCTAAAACCTAGAAGAGATCAATTTCACCCACTTACATACAAAATGAAAATCAGACAATAACAATCCATTTTTAATAGCTACTATAAATGTACTAAATGTATGATAGTGAACTTTAGAAAGCAGTCATGTTTAAATCATTTGCATTTGATTTAAATTGTGCACAATAGCTGCAGGCCAACTCCAGACAACCTTTCTCCCAAGTCCTTTAACTGAGAGTAA